CTATAGCTAACACCATAGTCAATGGTGCCAAGTTCAAAGCCTTTCATCTTAAGAACAGGAACAAGACAAGAATGCCCATTCCCGCCTCTGTACTGGAAGTCCCAGCTACAGAAATCAGGCAAGAAAGAGAAATAAAAAGCAGCCAAATCAGAAAGGAAGAAGTAAAACTCACTATTTGCAGATGACATGATACCATATACAGAAAACCCTAAAGACTCCATCAAAAAACTGTTAGAACTAAAAAATAAATTCAGTAAAGTTACAGGATAATAAAATTAATACACAGAAGGGGCGCCTTGGGTGGCTCAGTTGGTTAAGCGACTGCCTTCGGCTCAGGTCATGATCCTGGAGTCCCGGGATCGAGTCCCGCATCGGGCTCCCTGCTCAGCAGGGAGTCTGCTTCTCCCTCTGACCCTCCCCCCTCTCATGCTCTCTATCTCATTCTCTCTCTCAAATAAATAAAATCTTTAAAAAAAAAAATTAATACACAGAAATCAGTGGTGTTTCTAAACACTTAAGAACAAAGCCTCAGAAAGAAGTTAACAATTCCATTAAAAAGAAAAGAATTCCATTTACAATCGCAGCACAAAGAAGAAAATAGCTACGAATAAATTTAATCAAGGAGGTGAAAGAGCTGGGCACTTAAACTGCAAGACACTGATGAAAGGAATTGAAGACACAAATAAATGGAAAGCTAGTCTGTGCTTATGGATTGGAAGAATTAATATTAAAAACTCCACACTACCCAAAGCAATCTCCAGATTCAATGCAGTAGCTCTCAAAATTTCAACAGCATACTTCACAGAATTAGAACAAATAATTATAAAATTTGTATGGAACCACAAAAAATCCCGAATAGCCAAAGCAATCTTGAGAAAGAAGGACAAGGCAGGAAATATGCTCCCTAATTTCAAACTATACTACAAAGCTGTAGTAATCAAAACCGTATGCTCTGTGTACAAAAACAGACACAGAGATTAAATGGAACAGAACTGAGAGTCCAGAAATAAACCCACACATACCTGGGCAATTAATCTACCACAAAGAAGCCAAAGAACACATGTAATGCAGAAAAGTCAGTTTCACTTATATGGGGAATCTCAACAAAAGGACAAACAAAATTATGGGGCTCCTGGGTGGCTCAGTCGTTAAGCGTCTGCCTTCGGCTCGGGTCATGATCCCAGGGTCCTGGGATCGAGCCCCGCGTCAGGCTCCCTGTTCAGCGGGAAGCCTGCTTCTCCCTCTCCCACTCCCCCTGCTTGTGTTCCTTCTCTCACTTTGTCTCTCTCTGTCAAATAAAATCTTAAAAACAAAAACAAAAACAAAAAAAACTTTAAAAGGACAAAATTTTAAAAAAACCATAGAAAACAGACTAGTGGTTACCAGAGGAAGTCAACTGTATGGTGTCTAGATTTGTGGTGGTGGTCACTTTGTAGTGTATACAGATGTTAAATTATAAAGCTGTACACCAGAAACTTATATAATAAAGATTTATGTAATTCTTCTTAATGCTGGTCATAAATTTACACAACTGCTTTCTAATGATGATAAAAATTAAAAATACCCAATTCATACATTTTGGTTAGAATTGCTGTTTTAAAATTCCTAATGCAATGCAAATGAAACATAAATTACTTTAACCTTTGTTAAAGGTGCACACCGGACTTTCTGGAAAGAAAAAATCTTATTAGTTATTTCCTTATCACAACACCAGATTTCAATTTTATTTATGGTTTCTCTCTGGGACACCACTGTCTGTTCAGTAATAAAACAATAAATAAATTAATTGCACAGGTCTGACAAAAGGAACCAGATCAAAAAGGAAATTCAATTAGCAGCAGAATCTGTTCATGTTTGGTTGCAGACTGGTGGCTGACTTGCAGGGGAAGGGGTCTTGATTTTGAAAAACCTTACTTCATAGTACCAGAGAATCCTTTTAAAGAGAACTGTGCATCCCCTGGATTTGGACACTGTAAAAAATACCTTGCTGATTTGAAGAAGAATGAGAAGAAACAGTCTGCTTTTGAACCAAACTAAGCTACTCTTAGAATAATTTTTGAAGGCATGAGAAATTTGCTACCACAGGGGGAGCTTTACAGGCAAATGCAGAACATTTTTAAGATACTAAAAAGTGACAGTCACGAACCTTCCTGGGATCTCAGGAAAAATGTGCCCAGAATGGAACAGGACAGTTACTGTGAAAAGCCATGTGAGTACAGGCAGAGCCCAGAAAGGTCCCTGTAGGGAAAAAAGGTCATCTTTAACAAAAAATGGAAAGGTAGCCCACCCAGGTAGGGAGAACATGGACTCCACAAGTATGCAAACCAAATCACGCAAGACAGGAAGAATTTTAAGGCACACCTTGCAAGGACCTCCACAACCCATGGAGGATGTTCTTCATATGATGGTGATGGTAACAAACACAGAACATCCACTCTGTGCCACGCCATGTCCTTAGTATTAGAAATATTATAAACACATTTACAGAAAGGAAACAACCAGCAGTATTAGATTCTGTAGGACCCCTTAATAAGAGGCCCAAAAGGTACACTAAGGGGCAGTAACGACAATTATAGAAAAATTGTTTTTTCTAAGAAATAAAAATTCTCATTCCAAATTGCTCCTAAAATGGATAAATTAATTCTCTAGATGTTCTCATCAAGATAATTAGAATATATGTAGATACACTTCTGGAATTATACTGCATCTACCCAAGAGTTCTGAAGGTATCCAGGATGCTCAAAGGAGTTGGCTGAACAATACCTGGCCCCTGTTTATAAGCTTCAGAGACAAGATGTGCTGGTAAAGACCATGGAATGGTCCCATCAAGCTGGACGAGTCCAGTGAACACAGCTTACCTCTTGGGAAAACAAGTTGGTTTCTACTAGAGGAAATGGTCTCTCTCCCTAATCATATGGAACATTTAGTGTATGATGAATGGTTCTAACACCCTACTTTTTTGGACAAAGATGGGTCTAGGCGCCCCAGAAATTCCACATTATGTTAAAAAACAACTTAGGGGCACCTGGATGGCTCAGTTGTTAAGTGTCTGCCTTTGGCTCAGGTCATGATCCCAGGGTCCTGAGATCAAGCACTGCATTGGGCTCCCTGCTCTGCGGGAAGCCTGCTTCTCCCTCTCCCACTCCCCCTGCTTGTGTTCCCTCTCTTGTTGTGTCTCTCTCTGTCAAATAAATAAATAAAATCTTTAAAAAAAAAAAAAACAACTAAAATTTGGGGGATGAGGATATGGAAATTTGCCTAGTTATTTGCACATACCAGATGTCAAATCTGATTGAATGGAATGACTACAAAGTAAGGTTCCCCATGGGGCACCTGGGTGGCTCAGTCGTTAAGCAGCTGCCTTCGACTCAGGTCATGATCCCGGGGTCCTGGGATTGAGCCACACGTCAGGTTCCCTGCTCAGCGGGGAGTCTGCTTCTCCCTCTCCCTCTGCCTGCTACTCTGCCTACTTGTGCTCTCTCTGTCAAATAAATAAAATTGAAATAATAAGGTTCCCCAGGAACCAATGTGAGTGCCAGGTATATTAGCATCTTTTTTGAAGGATCTGAAAGAATCTACTGTGAAGGCTACAAGTTTGGGGGGCTATAAACTGTTGGGAAGAAGATGGAGGCAAGGAGCCAAGGCAAAAGAGCCAGACTATTAGAAAGATCTTTCAAGTCCAACAGCACTCGAGTGGGTAGACAAGCAGCAGATAATGTCATGTAAAAAAAAAATACAAGACAATGGGGCGCCTGGGTGGCTCAGTCATTCAGCATCTGTCTTTGAATCAGGTCATGATCCCAGGGTCCTCCTGGGATCGAGCCCCGCATCGGGCTCCCTGCTCATCGAGAATCCTGCTTCTCCCTCTCCCACTCGCCCTGCTTGTGTTCCTTCTCTCGCTGTGTCTCTGTCAAATAAATAAATAAAATCTTAAAAAAAAAAATACAAGATAATGACTTTTAGGGGAAATAATTCACAAAAATCAAGAGCTCTGAGCATCAAACTCAGAAAGCGAATCCACTGTACTGATGGGGGCCCAAATGCCCAACCAAATCAAATGTTAGGTACCACCAAGAAGGATCTCAGAAACTGTGGAACTAGGCAAATAATTTAGAGAAAGTTAGCTAAAATGATCAGGGCCAGGGCAAGAAGAGATATCGCTAAAAAACAGAGAATAAAAGGGCAAACTGAAAGGAGCTGTGACCAAAATCTAGAGGCCAGGGTATAATGTATTTCTTAGAAATACAAAGAAAACGGGGCACCTGGGTGGCTCAGTTGGTTAAGCGGCTGCCTTCGGCTCAGGTCATGATCCCAGAGTCCTGGGATCGAGCCCCATGTCGGGCTCCCTGCTCCTTGGAGAGCCTGCTTCTCCCTCTCCCTCTGCCTGCCTCTCTGCCTACTTGTGCTCTCTCTCTGTCAAATAAATAAATAAAATCTTAAAAAAAAAAAAAAGAAAAAGAAATACAAAGAAAACATGTTTAGGATGAGAAATTAAACACATTAGCCTGGGAGGAGGTATAGGCACTGAACACACACACATTCCTATAAAGTTGGATATGTTAGTTAATCCCAGGGTTGTCTGATTAAAAGTTGATTAAAGAAGGTGGTCTATTCAAGGGAGCCACACCCTCCCAAACTTTGTCCCTAGAGATTGGCTGTCCTCCGTTTTTAAGCTGGGGTCTGCACAGCTAGCAACTGCTCTCCATCTTGCCAAGATTTAGGATGGCTCTCAGCTGGCTGACTGGAACTGGCATGAAGCAGGATCACATAATTTCAGATACATTACCTTTTTTCCCCCCTTGAGTTACACATGAAAAAAGCAAAACCAGGTATTTTTTTTCTTTCTCTTTTTTAGGGGAGGTGGGTGGAGGTAAGGGTGGGACATGGCAATGTGTAGGGAGGAGAAAAATACTGGTGTTGATAGCTCACAGGATTGCAATCAGTGGGCTTAGTTTAACATGTAAAAGGAAAATAGTATGTTCAAAGGAATGAGGCACTCAAAGGATTGAAATGAGATTTTTCTTTGGTTCCCAGGGACCTGTCCCTGGGCTCTCCAAGGTTAGGTTCCAAAGCTATTCCTTTTGGCTCTGTGACACACGAAGAATCTCAAAGATTTAGACTCTGGCGCCAACTGTGCAAGCAGAGTGGTTAGGTCAATAGTTCACATTAGATGTATAAAATTAATTAGACCCAAATCTCTAGACTCAAGGGCAAGACCTGTGTCCAAAAGCCCGTTCTACCTGACGAATCCAGCTGCTGGCTTCAGTCCAGGCTATCCTCAGACCAGCTCAGAACATGACTGAGTCCTTTCTCCTACTTTTCAAAAGGTTGTTGGAGAATGCAGTCCTCAGAAGGAGGGCCTGGCCTCAGTGGGAGATGCCCAGAGACTGCAGCAGGTGAAAGGTGGCCCCCAAGGCCCAGCCTGTCTCTATGTTGTTCACTTTCTTTGAGAGCTGTTGAGAAAAAAAATAAAAGCTCACATTGTCATCAATTTTCAACTCTAGCAAGCATGACAGAGGCAGAGAGTATCTACTACAAAGATCATCCACATGGCCAAACCAAGGTAAAATTTGGGGTAGCCAGTCTTGGGAGGCTTCCCACTACCCCTTCTGTAACAGTTTCCCTCCTGTTACACCTGCTAATCTGGCCTCTGAATCTTCTGGCCCAGGAAGTGGTCTCACCCAGGCCTTCTAGACAGAGGCTTCTGAATTCTTTCCCTAATCCCGGAACTAAATACACGAGGAGTTGGGAATAGATTTAGGGGTAGCAAAGAACATACTAAAGTTCTCAATTCATACTCTGTAAACAACCAAAACTTCTTAAGCACTAATTAATAACCAATCAAGGCATTTAAGGCCTTCTAGACAGGTTGCGCCTCAGTTAGTTCAGTAACTTCGGGCAAGTGTGTAGACCTGTTTCCTCCACTACATAACAAACGGATTAGGTCAGTATTTATCCAATTGTTTTCTTTAGACTCTTAGGAGTTCTTGGAAGTGCTTCAAAGGAGAAAGGGAGGCCAAATGCTAAAGGGGTTCCAGGCCCCCTTCCTCTGCTTCCACCAGACAGCTCCACTTTGATCAGCTTTACCGGCCTTCTGTGTAAGCTTCTGTTGAACAGCGATGCTACCACTGATCACACCACACACAAGAGTCTGGAAACCAGTGGACTGGATTTAGTCTTTCTTTCTAGAACTACTTTCTTATGATACAATACTTCTGCGGTGACCTGATGAAATCTACGCTAGGCACTGTGCCAAAAACTGGGAAGAATGGCATGTGAGCGTCACCTTGAGATTTAGTCTGCGGCACGTGAGTCAAATTGGGAGTGCCGCCCCCACTCCCAAATGCTCCTCTGCCCTCGGGACTGGGCTCACAGCCTGGGGTAAAGAAGTTGAAGTGAAGTGACCTCTGGGCCAGGGAACTGCCTGTCACTGAATTTAATTCTGCTACCACTGAAATGATAAAGATGAAAAGGACGCCAGCACTGGAAATGGCAGAAAACGGTCTTTAAATGACGTGGTTACTGTTGATCCTTAAGTAGAGGAAGTAAACTTTGTATGTATTAAGGACTTAGGATGACCTTTCTTATCCACAAATCTATCCCCAACTGGTGTGAAATGCCTACACTAATAATGCCAAGATTAAGAACTTACTGTGTGCCAGGCATTGTGCTTTACGTACAGTATCTCAATTTTCCTAACAGCCCTATGAAATAGGTACGCTAAAGATCCCTAAGTTTGGACGAGAAACCTCAGAGTTAGAGGAAGTAAGTCATTTAAAGTTACAGAGCTGGTAAGCTCGCAGACTCAGAACGTGAACCCAGATGTGATGGACAATGGAGCCGTCCTTTAAATATATGTGATACTGAGTCTACTGGCAAGTGATTCCTTGTTAAGCACCTTAAATGCCGATATTCTTGTCAGACAAACGCATTAAATCCAAATTTAGTGGATTTAACGCAAAGTTTATGAGTTTACAAAATCTGTGCAACACAAGAAAGGAAGCAATGTAAACTCATCTGGAAGTGGGGAAACAGGAAGGGGAAGCGGCACGAGCAAGGGCACTTCAAAAACAAAGTAGAGTCTACCTACTTGAGCCCAGAGTTCAAAATCGCCTGTGCCATACTTGTGTTTGTCACATCTCCTCTAAGAGACTATATGCTATTTGAGGAAAAGACTGTATCTTCATTATCTTTGTAACCATAATGTACAGTTATCCAATTGTGGTACAGAAGACAACAAAGTAAATGGGCTGGACGAAACATAAAAGATGTGTTTAGAATAGATAAATAATTTCCTACAGATAAAGTGGAGCCTGCATGTGCTGAAACAGATGGACAGAGCAGGAAGACAAAGAGGGACCCAAGATTCAAGGGACACTAAATATATGAGACACATATAAAATACATAAGACATACTACAAATACACAAGGCATTCAACACTACTGAGAACTTGCATAAGCCACTCACTGGTGACACCCTTTTGTCCTCTGCCAAATAAAACCATCTAATGGGCTAATGAGTGAATGCTACCAGCCAGTGTACCTGCCCCTGTGCCTCTCTCAAATTGAGCAAATTTGTCTGATGGCCACAGGCACCTTCTGTCCCTGTACCCCCTTGATCAGCTCTAGTACTTATAACCATACTATCAGCAGCAGAGAGAGAGGCAGGACATGAACCCAGGATTTTGGAAGTATGGCACTTCCAACCTGCCTGCACCCTATCCTGTGTGTTCCTAACCCATTTCTTCCCTTTGCTTCTTGCCCTGAGTTTTGAACTTGCTTTAATAAACCATGTGACTTGGACACCTTGATTTGGGATATAAGCCTTTCTGCTCTGTGACCCCTGGGATAGTGTGCCTGGGAATATACTTAGAAGCTACCATTACATCAAGCTAATTTCCCACATTCATGGTGTCTTACACAGCGCTTTGCCCACATCCCTAATAAAAACCCCGCATAATTCCACCTGCAGCCACTCTGATTACTACGCAAGTGCTTTTCCTAATTCCCAAAGAAGTGGACTGTTTTGTGATTCTCTCTTACCTGTAAGATAGTACTGTCTGCAAAGCCAAAGCCGTCCTTCAACAGGGCTGTGATGTAACTGAGATCCATGCACAGGAAAGGACTGCCTGAGGTGAAGTTTTCCAAGTTATCACACACTGAAAGGGAGGGAGAGTGAAGAGTGGAATCCAAGTTTGCAGCCAACTGGCAGGTATATGATTTCCTCTAAATATAGACTCAGGATAAGCAAAGCAGAATTCTCCATGTTGTTGATGCCGGGGAGTCATGAAGACTAGAACTGGATAAAGAAGACGTGGTGTGTGTGTATGTATACATAATGTACATTATACACACATTGTATAATATGTAATATACATTATATATTATGTATACACACATCTTCTATACATATGTATACATAATACACACACACTGGAATACTACTCAGCCATAAAAAAGAATGGTATCTTGTCACTTGTTATGATGTGGAAGGATCTAGAGGGTGTTATGCTAAGTGAAGTTCAGTCAGACAGAGAAAGACAACTACCATATGATTTCACTTATACGTAGAACCCTCCCCCCAAAACAAAACAAATGAACAAACAAAGAAAAAACCAGACTCTTAAATAGAACAACTGGTGGTTGCCAGAGTGGAGATGGGTAGGGGGATGGGAAAAATAGGTGAAGGAAATTAAGAGGTACAAACTTTCAGCTGTAAAATAAATAAGTCACAGAGATGGAAAGTACAGCATAGGGAATATAGTCAGTAACACTGTAATAATATTGTATGGCGAAAGATAGTGACTATATTATCATGCCAAATACCGGATAATGTATAGTCAAATCTATATGTTGTACACCTAAAACTGATATAACACTGTATGTCAATTATACTTCAATAGAAAAAAAAAAGGAAGGAAGAAAGAAATGTAGAAAGAAGAAAAGATTTTCACCATCTCCCCAAAGCCTCTTGTATTCCCATGGATTTCTATGCCACTTAATGCTTTTAATTCCGGGCAAAAAACAGGAAACCAGCCTTCTGAGAGGCTTTCTGCTGACTGCGGTGCTTTAGGTCACTTTCGGGTCACTGCAGTTCGCAGGCGCAGATGTATGGACTCGTCTTCACGGGCTTCCACTGGCACTTACCTTCCCTTGCTTTTCTTTCAAAATCTTCAACTTTTAAAACACCCCCTGTTTCATAATCTAAAATGAAACAGTAGCTAATGTCAAAAAGCCTTCAAGGAAACAAGGAAATTCATCTTTGTGCTATTTATAATAATGAAAAACCATAAGTAAAATTTCTAACATTACAGAATGGGCTAAACAAACATGACATAGCCATATAATATAATCTATGTAGTCTATTTTATTAATAATTATTCTATGTATATTTAACCACAATAAAAAAATTGATCTGTTAAAAAAATAGAAAATAGGAAATTAATTCATATCTCAGGCCATCACAGATCACACACATACATTCACAGCTAACAAAAAGCATTACTATTGTGATAAGGAAATAAAAGTTATCAAGGGGGAGTAAGAAACTTTTTGGGGTAATAGACATATTATTTGAATTTGGTGATGGCTTAATGGGTATACACCTATGTCAAAACTTAGTAAACTGTACACTTTATTCATATTTTATTTTATGTTATACCTCAATAAAAATATAAAAAAAAACAGACTTCATATGTGTCTCTTTATGCCACTTTCTAGCAAAAGATTCTAAATCATATTCACCCTTCCACTGCAGCAATTGTCATCCAACAGCCAGCACTGGAGAAGAGCAGTGTGATCACTTATGACAAAGCATTTCAAATGCTCCTCTTCTCCCTTTCCCTTCCTCAGGACAGCTTTGCCCAGTTCCCTCCCCAGGCTGATTCCTGGAGTAAACTTACCAATCATGTCCGTGTCAACAGCACGATCATAATAGTAAGAGAAAGCGTAGAAGGAGCTCTTCTGGACCTCATCTGGCTGGTGAAGTTTTCCTTGGACCACCCTCAGCACTTCAGTGTAGCAGGGCTCAAAGCCCATCTCCCCTGCCACAGCAAAGGTGAGAAAAATGAAAGCTCGCTGAGGCAAGCTGTCGGGAGCCAACAAAGAAACAACAGGAGGATCAAGGAAAGCAGAATATTGAGGCTCAGGACAAAGGGCTGACAAAGATGAAAAACTTCCATAGCCCTGTCACTCTGGAGGAAAGGCACCTGCTTCCCCATGGCAGCTTCCCTCCCGAACCTGTGCTCACCAAAAATAGCCATATCCAACTCAAGCTGCTGCCTAGCCAGAAGCATCCAGAAATCTCACCGCTTCCTTCACTGGAAAAATTGAGATTTTTCCTTGATTTTTTAAAGATTTTATTTATTTATTTGAGAGAGAGAGAGCATGAGAGGGGGGAGGGTCACCGGGAGAAGCAGACTCCCCGCCGAGCAGGGAGCCCGATGCGGGACTCGATCCCGGGACTCCAGGATCATGACCTGAGCCGAAGGCAGTCACCCAACCAACTGAGTCACCCAGGCGCCCGAGATTTTTCCTTGATTTTAAGGTCTTTGCTTTTTATAATACCAAGATGAATTACTCCTTCTAATGTCTCAGTTTTAAATGTTACTATAATTTAAAAAGCTAAACATTAATGGAATCTAGAGTTTCTAGACAGAGTTTCTCCTTGAGGAGGGCAGAGACCCTTAAAGCATTAGACCCAGGTTAAGAACAGGTTTCTAATGGATCCACAACACTTGGGCAGGGAAAGAGCAGGACATAGGGATGGTTGCCTTGTTCGCTGTCATTTCACATTACTCCTCTACTGCATACCAAGATCTATTTGGAATGAGTCCCTGCAAAAGACAAGCTTCTCCTGAGTCTGGAAAACATTTCCCATGGAACTTTTCCAGACTTCTACTGTAAAGGTAATTTTTTTTTTTTTTAAGATTTTATTTATTTATTTGACAGAGAGAGACACAGCGAGAGAGGGAACACAAGCAGGGGGAGTGAGAGAGGGAGAAGCAGGCTTCCCGCGGAGCAGGGAGCCCGATGCGGGGCTCGATCCCAGAACTCTGGGATCATGACCTGAGCCGAAGGCAGACGCTTAACGACTGAGCCACCCACGCGCCCCTGTAAAGGTAATTTCAACCAGTGAAAAAACATCGCTTGCCTTCTCTGTTGCCACCATACTGATATTTCACACCCCCAAAGATCCACTCCGCCTCCAACCATCTCGGTAGACAGGCACTTCGGAAAGTGTGTCCATCAGTCCCTGAAAGAAGCCAGACCACAGAGTAAGAGGCAAGGGTTTGAGAGAGGGTGTGTGCAAGAGTGAGAGACACACACACACACGCATACACGCAAGCATGCACACACCCATGCAAGCAAGAAGCCAGTCAAGTTAAAAGGAATTACCAAAAAGTAGGTAGTTCCATGACTTCATCCTACGACAGGAATTCTTAACTCAGGGTTCACAGATGGGCTTTGTGGGGTTGGTGAACCCTCTAAAACTACAGATAAATTTTTGTGCATCTGTGCATTTGGCAGAGGGGTCCATGGCTTTCATCACATCTCAAAGAAATCCAAAACTTACAATGGAGTAAGTTCCTTCCTGCCTAAAAAAAGGGAAAAAATACTGTTCTACTTTTCTCATTGGTTGTTGTGAGGCTTAAATGAAATACATTTGAAGATGTTTTGTAAACTCTGAAATGCTATACAATCGTCATCACAATAAGAGTTTACTGTGAGCCGGGCACCGTAAAAAGTATATTAAATGCAAAATCTCATATAAGGTGAGGAAAGGGGCACAGAAAGGTTAGCTAACTTGCCCCAAATCACAAAGTGGGACTGAACCCAGTTCTGCCTGACCCCAAAAGCTGAGCTCTTAACTGCTCTACCACCTTTGAAGAGATGAATAAAGTTGCTCAGTCACTCCACCTTTGCAAGTGGACTGATGTTGCTTCCTGCACCTCCCATGAACAACTAAGGGCTTGAGCAAACTTCTGCCACATTCACTCTTGGAGTTTTGAATTTCTGCAGCAGCCTCCTGGTCACAGGTGTTGCCCCTATATATAGACTTCATTCTAGAAATGGCTAATAATGTATACTAAGACAACAGAACACAACATAAAGTAGAAAAAGAATCTGCTATTATCATGTCCATTATACAATACATGCTTCCTAAATCAGCATAACCCTTTCCTCTACAAAATCACTGTGAAGGAAGGGGAAAGGCAAGCTGCATATGGGTGTCACTCTCACCACACCCCAACCAGCACAAGTACCAGACGAACCTTCTGTTTCCAGGGCTCCCAGGGTTGCTAGTCTTGCAGCTTTCAATCCAAATCCCAAGTAACTGTAAAACACAGGATTAACTAATTTCATGCTGGTCCTGAAGTTCTCCAGCCTAAAGCTATCTCTTTCAAAAGTAGTATGGCTTCTCTGTCTCCCACTGGAGAGGGGAAAACCTTGTTCTCTGTGACCTCTTCATCTTGTGTGGACAAGTGGTAATTTCTGCACAGTTCAGATCAAGGCCATCCAGAACTTTCCACACCTATGATTTAAAGGCCAGAGCCAGTGACACTTTCTAGGATCCCACCTTGGGAACCATGCCCAGAAAAGCTCTCATTACTTTAGCTTCCAGCCCCACTGTGATCAAATCCAAGGATGGATTCTGAACATCTGAAAGCAAACTCAAGGAGCTGGCAGAGATCTTTGGCTGAAGATTCTTCAAGTGTCCTCTCGCTAGAGAAAACTTTTTTTTAAGTTTATTTATTTATTTATTTATTTATTTGGGGGAAGAGAGAGAGAGAGAGTGGGGGGGAGAGAAAGAGAGAATGAGTGGGCGGGAGCGACAGAGGGAGAGGGAGAAGCAGACTCCCCTCTGAGCAGGGAGCCTGCCTGGGGCTCAATCCCAGGACCCTGGGATCATGACCTGAGCCAAAGATAGACAGTTAACTGACTGAGCCACCTAGGCACCCCTCTCTAGAGAAAACTTTTGACCCTTTATTCTATACTTTTGAGGCCAAGAATGGAGAAACCTCTTGGGTCCTTGGGCTTCGGTAAGTGGCTTTGGTTTCAGTTACCAGACCTTTGGGGGTCGGCAGAGACTTTGTAAGGCTAGTCAGATACAATAACAGATGTGAAAATGCTTTGAAAAGTTAGGACAATCATGCAACATGAAATATTATTCCTCCCTGTCCCCCTCCTCACCTATGTGTATAGAGCTTATAAGTGCTGTTAAACATCTCAAATGAAGTGAGGTAGCCCTGAGGGGTTTGTTCCAGGGTTTTCTGCAAATCAGAAAAAGACTATTCAGGATCTGCAATTGTCTGAAGGTGTTAACACCACCATCCCTGTCCCTCCCCCAAAAAATCAGAGATGAAAGAGACAGACTAAGCTGCTGATCTCACAAGGCTGGAGGAATCAAAGGGACTCTGAGCAGTAGGGGGGGGCGGGGCAGGGGAAGCATACCCAGTCATTAACTGTGGCGGAGCTACTGTCTGAAAATGGGGCACCACTTTCCTGGCACCATGATATGCCTGCCAAGTGGGCTGCTAACCAGTCTTCGTGTAAATAACTCACCTCAAACTGGGGTAGGAACGTAATTTGGGTGGAGGCCCCCCCCAGGTCCAGGGTCCCCACAGTCTCCTGGCTGTGGCCATGAAGCTGACCTGTGAATGAGAGCCAGCTCTGAATATCTTCTGCTTCCAGGACAGCCCAACACTCCTCTGTCTGCAATCTCTCTCCTGCTCTTGTATACTGCAGGTGTTCCATATAAACACTCCACTGTTCCCCAGCCCCGGAGGCTGTACGTGAGTGCTAACCTATAGGGATTCTTGTGGTAGCTGAGGCCTTGAAGACAGGGTATAAACATTAACTTCCTATCTTTTCCTTCCCTTTTTTTTTTAAACACAGTACAAGCAAAAGGGTTATTTACTCTTTGACCCTGTACGAAACCCAGTTAATGTCTTAGAATAAGCTTGAGAATGTATTACCTGTCAGAAAATTCACAGTAACCCAAGCTAAGATGCCTGAAAGAGAGAGAAAAACAGGGATTACATCTCAGAGCATTTTCCCCCGATCTTCCTTGACCTCATTTTTGGTCTTTTTCTCTAAAATTTTGTGTCTAGGGGCACCGGGGTGGCTCAATCGTTAAGCGTCTGCCTTCAGCTCAGGTCGTGATCTCAGGGTCCTGGGATTGAGCCCCACATCGGGCTCCTTGCTTGGCGGGAAGCCTGCTTCTCCCTCTCCCACTCCCCTTGCTTGTGTTCCCTCTCTCGCTGTGTCTCTCTCTGTCAAATAAATAAAAAAAAATAAAAATAAAATTTTGTATCGAAAACACACATTTTCCTTCTCCCTGCCCTTCCATTTCCTCTTAGCCCATCCCTCCTGGCTTATTTGCTTCTCCTTATTTAGTTCCTTTTACTTCAGCACCCCATCCCCATTCCCAATTCTTTTATTTTTTATTTTAAAGATTTTATTTATTTGACAGAGAGAGACACAGGGAGAGAGGGAACACAAGCTGGGGGAGTGGGAGAGGGAGAAGCAGGCTCCCCTCTGAGCAGGGAGCCCGACGCAGGGTTCGATCCCAGGACCCTGCGATCATGACCCGAGCCAGAGGCAGACGCTTAACGACTGAGCCACCCAGGCAAACCTTTATTTTTTTTAAAGATTTTTAAAAATGTATTTATTTGACAGAGAGAGACACAGCGAGAGAGGGAACACAAGCAGGGGGAGTGGGAGAGGGAGAAGCAGGCTTCCCGCTGAGCAGGGAACCCAATGCGGGGCTTGATCCCAGGACCCTGGGATGATGACCCGATCCGAAGGCAGACGCTTAACGACTAAGCCACCCAGGCGCCCCTATTCCCAGTTCTTTTAATCAAATCTTTTATTAATCCTGGCCCTCTCCCCTCAGAACATGTATTAACACCTCTCCCACCTTCATAGGATCCGTCCATGATGCTAACACTGTCATCTGGTACCAGGAAAGGTGATCTCTTGAAGATTTCTCTTACCTAAAGAAAAAGGGAAAAAGTCTGGATTCCCTAAGGCAATAAAGAAGATTTCCGTATTTTGCCTATATCTTATTAAGGCTTAGAAAACTACAGTCTTCATTTCCCTAGATAAAATGTTAGCAGAATATTCCTTTTCCCTAAAAAACTAGAGAAGGAACTACACAAGCCATTACTGGTTTCTTGTAAAAACAAAAAACACAGGGATTCCTCTGACTTTAAAATAAATCTCAACCAAACTATTTAAATTTATAGGTGAACTGGACCTAGGAAAGGGCATACATTTGATCCCTTCCAGCTCAAATCAGGATCCTGTAATTTTTTTTTTTTTAACAGCTTATTAATCCTGCCTGGGCACGAAGCTAGGACAACCCTTTCCCACTTCATTTCTTAGATGACAAAATAAACGGATGGTAGAGAAGAGTTGGGACTGGGCAGCTCCTGAGGCTACAGAAACATCTCTTCTACTCTCGCACCAAATTCTGCAGGTCTTTGCCCTTGCTCATAAAGGGGGCTCATGTTCATAGGCTGGGGTACTCTGCTGTCAGCCCCTGTTAGATTCAGGCACATGGCTGAGGCCTCATGAGTCCACAGAGACCCCAGATCTAGATTTATTTATCCTATTTTAGGAGATGGGAATGAACATCTCACACACCCTTGACTCTCCATAAATATAGGTCAGTGACATGGGTGTTATGTCTTATTTTTTAATATGATTATCACGAGGCAAGGGGGAGACTTTCCAAACAGGAATAGAAGGAACTCTGGTCTGCTGGCTGTTCTCATTCCTGATAGGATGAAACACTTCATGTGATGACCTCTGGACTCTGTTTCATCCAGGAAAAGCCAGTTAAGTGATCTATAAATTAGCTTTTAAAGAGAAGACAGATAAGCAAACAGGAATAAACACAGAGAGTTTCTGCTCTTGCCTTCTCCATTCTTCTCCCCTGCCCACAGTTTATTCTTTTTTTTTTTTTTTTAAGATTTTATTTATTCATTCGTAAGAGACAGAGAAAGAGAGAGAGAGGCAGAGGAAGAAGCAGGCTCCCTGCTGTGCAGGGAGCCTGATGCAGGACTCAATCCCAGGATCCTGGGATCATGACCTGAGCCTAAGGCAGACGCTTAACCATCTGAGCCACCCAGGCGCCCCCACAGTTTATTCTTAATACAGCAACCAGAGTGGTGCTTCTTTCTTTCTTTTTTAAAGATTTTATTTATTTATTTGACAGAGAGAGACACAGTGAGAGAAGGAACACAAGCAGGGGGAGTGGGGGAGGGAGAAGCAGGCCTCCTGCTGAGCAGGGAGCCCGATGCGGGGCTCGATCCCAGGACCCCGGGATCATGACCCGAGCCGAAGGCAGACACTCAACAAATGAGCCACCCAGGCGCCCCTCTTTTTTTTTTTTTAAAGATTTATCTTTATTTATTTTAGAGAGAGAGTGTATCCACGTGTTGGTGGGGGAGAGGGAGAGAATTTCAAGCTGACTCCCTACTGAGCGCTGAGCCCAAAGCTAGCTCAACCCCACCACCCTGAGATCATGACCTGAGCCATGAGGTCAGATGCCCAACCAACTGAACCCCCCAGGCACCTGCCCCTTTTTTTTAGTTAAGTAGGCTCCACACCCAGCATGGAGCACAAAGCAGGTCTTAAACTCACAACCATGAGATCAAGACCTGAGCTAATAGTTGGACACCTAACCAACTGAGCCATCCAGGCACCCCCAGAGTGGTGCTTTTAAAACAGATGTCAGATCCTGCCTCTCAGCTCAAGACCCTCCAATGACTTCCTTCTTAGAGAAAAAGCCAAAGTCCTTACACTTGCCTTTAAGGCCCTACGTGATAAACCCCTCACATCTCTCTGACCTCACCTCCGACTTCCCTTCCATCACTTGCTTCCCCTCCAGCTGCACTGACCTCCCGGATACTGTTCCTTGAACATGCCAAGCACATTTCATGCTCTAGGCCTTTGTACCTGCTATTTCTTTTGCGTGGAATATTCTTCCTATAAATGTCTTGTATAGCTTGCTTCTTTATTCCTTTCAGGCCTCTGATCAAATGCATCTAATCAATGAGGTCTTCCCTGACCATCCTATTTAAAGCAGTATCCCTCCACACCACCACCAGCATTCCCTAGTTGACTTCCCCTGCTTTTCTTTCTCCATCTCATCTACAGTACCTGACATACTTCGTAGTGAGTTGTTTAGTTTTCTGTCCGCTTGCAACTAGAATGCAAGCTCTACCAGGACACAGACTAATTGCCATTTTTTTGCTCCCTGCAGCATGTCCCCCGGGAACTTCACCAGTGCCCAGTACAGAGTAAGCACTCATATGCTGAATAAATGAATAAATGAATGAGGAATCAGGATTCAGATTCTCATGCAGACATGCTAGGCAGCTTGTTCTTGGACAAGGGACTAAGGCCCTCTGTGCTGACAGTCAAAGGAAAATGGAGTTTGAGCTCTGAATTAGCATACTTATAATACAGAATCATTTTTTGCTGTGATTTTTTTTTTAAAGATTTTATTTATTTATTTGAGAGAGAGAATGAGAGAGAGCACATGAGAGGGGGGAGGGTCAGAGGGAGAAGCAGACTGCCTGCCGAGCAGGGAGCCCGATGTGGGACTCGATCCAGGGACTCCAGGATCATGACCTGAGCCGAAGGCAGTCGCTTAACCAACTGAGCCACCCAGGCACCCTGCTGTGATTTTTTTAAAAAGATTTTATTTATTTACTTGAGAGAGAGCACACACACATGGGGAGGGGCAAAGAGGGAGGGAGAAGGAGGGGGAAAGAGTCTCCAGCAGACTCCCCACTGAGCATAGAGCCCCACTGGGGGCTCGATCCTATGACCCTGAGATCATGACCTGAGCCAAAACCAAGAGCTGGACTCTCAACCAACTGAGCCACCCAGGCGCCCCAACTGTGATTTTTTTTTTTTAAAGATTTTATTTATTTATTTATTTATTTGACAGAGAGAGACACAGTGAGAGAGGGAACACAAGTGAGGGAGAGGGAGAAGCAGGCTTCCCACTGAGCAGGGAGCCCGATGTGGCACTCGATCCCAGGACCCCAGGATCATGACCTGAGCCGAAGGCAGATGCTTAACAACTGAGCCACCCAGGCGCCCTGCCCCAACTGTGATTTTTGTTATAATGGGATCCCACCTATAAATATTCTTCATAATATGTAATTTAAATCTTATTAGTTTACATGCTTTTTGCAAAATAAATGTTCAGTAATGTCAACAATTTTGAGTTTAAAAAAGCTTCCTACTTAAATATTTTATCTGAACAAGAAGTTGAAATGGACATACAAATGACCAACAGACACATGACAAGATGCTCAACAACTCTCATCATCAGGGAAATGCAAATCAAAACTACAATGAGATATCATCTCATACCTGTCAGAACGGCTAAAATCAAAAACAGGAGAAACAACAAGTGTTGGGGAGGATGTTTAAAAAAAAGGCGGGGAACCCTCATGCACTGCTGGTGGGAACGAAAACTGGTGCAGCCACTGTGGAAAACAGTATGGGGGTTCCTCAAAAAGTTAAAAATAGAATTACCCTACAATCCAGTAATTGCACTACTGGTATTAATCCAAAAAATACAAAAAACACTGATTAAAAGGGATACATACATCCCTATGGTTTTATTATAGCATTGTCTACAATAGCCAAACTATGGAAGTAGCCCAAGTGTCCTTCAACAGATGAATGGATAAAGAAGATATGGTATATATAAACGATGGAATATTACTCAGCCATAAAGAATGAAATCTTGCCATTTGCAACAACATGGATGGAGTTACAGAGTATAATGCTAAGCATAATAAGTCAGAGAAAGACATACCATATGATCTCACTCATATGTGGAATTTAAGAAATAAAACAAACAGAGACAAAAAACCAGACTCTTTAACTATAGAGAACAAACTGATGGTTACCAGAGGGGAGGTGAGGGGGCATGGGTGAAATAGGTCATGGGGATTAAGAGTGTACTTATCATGATGAGCCCTGAGTAATGTTCAGAACTGCTGAATCACTAATACCATACACCTGAGACTAGTATAACACTGTATGCTAACTATGCTGGGATTAAAATTAAAAATTTAATTAAAAAAATACTTTATGCTGAGAGGAAAAAAGTCAGATGTAAAAAAAAAAGAACATAAACTGTGTAATTACATTTATATGAAAAGTAAGAACAAGCAAAACTAATCTACAATGGTAGAAAGCAGATCAGTGGTTGCCTGACTTCAGGGGAGGGGGAAACTGACTGCCAAGGGGTACAAGGAAACTTCTGTATTTGTCAAAATTCATTTAACTGTACACTTAAAATGCAGAAATTTTAAGTTCTACCTCAATAAAGTGGGCTAAACATAATTTCTGTGATTATGCTTTAACAAATTAGGAGAATTAAGAATATCATGGACAGAAAGTACTTTAAACTTCTTTAAGAAAAGCTGTATAAATTCAAGAGTAACATTTAAAAATGTAAATAAGTAGCTAGAATAAGTGCCCAGTTACCCCAGTGCTTCAGCAACGGTGGAATACTAAAGTAGCAGTCACGCACCAGAAAGCTAAAAACCCACGAAGAAAATATTCACATAGGGAAAAAGAATCATCCAAGATGCAAAGGACTTCAAAAATTACCTCGAAGAGCAGAGCCTGGGCTTTCTGTTCTGGCAGTAAGCGCAGTCCCGCTGTTGCCTTCAGGACCACTGGGGTTCTCTTCCAGTGACTTCGGGGTATTGAGTCTTTCGCCACCTCTAAGAGTCCTTGAACAGTCTCAGCACCCTTCAAAAGAGATGACCTACTCATCCAGTGAAAGTCATTTAGGGGCACTTGTCTCTTCCCTCAGCATGTTCTGGGGGTATTAAGAGTGAGGCAGCAGAGGGCTCCATGCACACTCTGCTCTGTAGAAGAAACCCAGAGAAGTAGGCTTCTTTGAAGGAAAATCCATTTAATTTTGATTGAGTAATAACAAAAATGATTCTGTCATAGCATGGTCATTTTAACTGACTGTTATTTTGTGCCTCATAAATTAGCTTTAGGCCAGAAAGTTGGGTACAGTGAAGAAAACACTGGATGTGGACTTAGAAAGACTTGCTTGTTAGCCCTGTGGCTTAACACAGGGGCTTGGTTTCCTCCCTATATATATATGAGGTAGATACACCTCATTAACACTACAAAACTGCTGAGCACGTTAGATGAGGCAGAGTGCATACACCTGCCACACAAACGCTGGGGTAGCCGTCGTGCTACGGTTTTTACGGTCTCTGTAAGGACAGAACACATCAGGTTCACATGTGCATCACCTGCACCTACACACACAGTACACAGTAGATACTAAAATTTATGAAATTAAAAACCATTATTTCAAATCCACTGTTTCCTTGAGTGAACATCTGACAACACGCTGCCTCTAAATTATTATAATTATTAGCTACCACAACACAATCTTCTCTACATGTCAAATCAGTTTCTGATAACGTAGTTGCTTTCAACAGCTCCTAATTTTCTGATGTATTTACCATTTCAGAACAGTGAACTGAGAAAATAAACATCTTCTCAGTTCTTCAAGTTCAAGCCATTTTTTTCTTAGGTTATATTTTTAAGTAATCTTTACACAGAACATGGGGCTTGAACCCACAACCCTGAGATCAAGAGTTGCATGTTCTACCGGCTGAGCCAGCAGGTGCCCCAGGACATTCCCCGCCCCCCCCCCAAGCTATTTTTAATATAAGGTTTTCCTTTGGTTAATGATTATGCTTGTAACACGGAACAATACCTTTACATTTGCTACCAAAGTTCAATATTCTGGTCTCTGACACACTGGGTGTAGCATGTTATGGGTGCTCAAATGTGAAATATAGTCACAACAAAACTCTTCATTCATCCTCTAATAACCAAAGATTTTTGTTTTCGTAAGTTCTTGCCTAATTTCTAGAGTATAGGCATGCATGGTCTGTCCTAGATCAGGGTACTCTGAAAGGAAGTTCATTGGGTCTATGTTGCCTCAACTGCCATGTTCATACCTCACACTCTATAGAACTCCATGTCCATCTTCTGCATCTACATTAATCAATGCAGTTGACAGCTTCAATTCAAAATCTTAAACAGTAAATACAAAGGGAACAATCTCTTAAAAGATGGCATTATCCCTGCATGTCCACAATCTATTCTAACTTCCTTCTGCCCAAGCCCTAGTGAGCTTGGGGTGTATAATTTCTGTTATCCAGTAGAGCTGAGGAGAGAAAACTGATCTTACACATGGCCTCAATATCACTAGTGAACAGCATGAGGTATTTAACAGCAGCTGTGTGGTAAAGTTATCAAAGCATTAAGAATCTAAACATCTAATTGTAAAAAACTCACCTGCTTAGGTTGATCTACAAAAGCAGAAAGTCCTGGCTTCACAGATTCAAAAATTTCCCCTTCCAGAATTGGAAGCTGTCCTATTTTGTCCGTGGAACAAAACAGAAGAGAGATGGCTAATTACCAAAAGTTAGGCTGCTTTTGATAGGGGGCTCTGTATCATATGACCCACTAGATCAACCTGGTATTCCTCCAAGCCATCCCAAGTAATCCAACCTGTAAGGAGTGGCTTGCAGGAGTACTGGGTAGGGGGACAGAAGACGACGGGCAATTCTTGAGAGTCCCTCTGGCATTTCTCAGGGTGGATACCTAGCTCCTACTGCTGCCCCTAGGCTCTATACGTAACTTGAGAACACTGGAAATTCAGAAAAAGTTAATCTTCAAGGTCCCTTCATCTCCTTCTCCAAGGATGGCAGTAATCCTCTCTCATGACCACTTCCAATATTCTCAATATTCTGGACCCCGGAGCATCAACTAACTTTAGAGAAAAGGACAAATTACAGCTATACTTCTTGGACATATGGGTTTCAGACTACAGGCAACCCAGATCTAATTTCACACTGAATTAAACCATATGTTCAATTATAGCCCAAAATCTTCTCTGAGGAAAGACATTCAGTAGCTGTAAGTTACCATAATTCATATCGCATTCTCTCAGCACATTTGTTTCTGGAAGGAGATGCTGAAGTGTGGATTAATAGGCACTGGAAAGGGTACCAGTTACACTTACCTGGTATTTTCTGCACAAAGGTGTAAACATGAATTCGTGTTCCAGTGCTCCCTGCATCGAACATAATTCCATACAATGTGCTGGCACTGACATTGATGGGGCACATGGAAGACAGGAAGACACCTTCAAACCAAGTCTGCTGGTCTCTGTGGAAGACAGTGCTACAAACACAGGAGGCCACCAGCATGAAAAAGGCTGCCCCCCAGGTAGTGGCCATTCTCTTCCCAAGGTGTGGTGAGTCTAGGCTTTTGCTGCAGAAGCAATGTTGTTCATATACCTGCAGTGGCTTATAGGACAAAGAAACACATGGTTAGACCAACTGGTCTTTTGTTTATACCTGTAAAGGAAGAAACACCCACTGCAGAAATCCCACCCCTTCCCCCAAGGTGCTCCTTCTCTATTTTTCCTAACCAGCATAACAAGCTAGACCAGGGTAACACAGGCTCCTAGCACCTTTTTCTGAAGAGTATCTTGTTGCAAAAGGAAAATGGGATTTAAAATATATTTCCCCCTTCTCTGCTTTCGGTTGTACGGTAGATCTCTCATACTCAAGGCCTTCTCTGCCACCCTGCTCTTATTGTTGAGTCTAACTGACTCCTTTTCCATTTTGACAATTTTGTCTTTAGATCATATACTAACCCTCTCTCCCTCCCTCTTTCCCTCTCTTTTGTCTTTTCTGGTTGATATAAGATGTTCCAATTTCTGAATTAAAGTCATAAAGTTACAAAGAAGTTATAAAGTCACTAGCATTGGGGTATCTACAGCCTTCAAAACTCAGGCTATTGGACCGCTACCTGTGACCAATAATACTGCCAGTGGCTTGTACATACAATCACATTTTAGGGACATCAGCTTAATTTAAAAACACTTAAACAGACCATTGTGGGTTTGTTTGGGGTTTTTTTTAGTTTATTTATTTATTTAAGTAATCTCTACACTGAACATGGTACTTGAACTCACAACCCACAGATCAAGAGCTGCATGCTCCTCCAACTGAGCCAGCCAGGCTCCCGGACCATTATGGTTTTAAAAAACATCCTTCACAGGTTTCAGGCCATGTTATCCCAGTAAGAACTTAAGGCAGATGGGGACACCTGGCTGGTTCAGTCAGTTAAGCATCCGACTCTTGATTTCAGCTCAGGTCATGATCTCAGGGTTGTGAGACTGGGCCCAGCATCAGGCCCCACGTCTGGTGTGGAGTCTGCTTAGGATTCTCTCCCTCCCCCTGTACCCTCTCTCTAAAAAAAAAAAAAAAGAAAAAAAAAAGACCGCCTAGGTGGTTCAGTTGGTTAAGTGTCTGCCTTTGGCTCAGGTCATGATCCCAGGGTTCTGGGATCAAGTCCCACATCAGGCTCCTTGCTCAGCTAGAGCCTCCTTCTCCCTCTGCCTGCAGCTCCCCCTGCTTGTGTTCTCTCTCTCTATGTCTGACAAATAAATAAATAAGATCTTTAAAAAAAAAAAAGACAAAAACAAGAACAACAACAAAAACCCAAAAAAACACTTAAGGCAGATGGGCAAATTAAGCCAGAGAGGCTCACTGACTTGCTGAAAGTCATAAAGCAGGTCAATGGTGAAATCTTGATTAGAAATCAGTCTTCATTCTTGCCAACGTTTCTTTTTTCTCTGATTCCAAAAGCCTCCCTTATGACAAGTTACTGCCTATATTTCTTAATATGTTCTTAGCAAAGACAAAAATCTTAGCATTAGTGCTCAGTTTTATTTTAGATCTGTGTATTATAGTAGGTTGGATAAAAATGATGCTGAAAACCTAGAGTAGGGTTACATGAAAAAATGTCTCCTGGATGAGCTATACTGTCTTTGCTCCAGGCTTCATTTTCTCCTGGTATTCATAAAGATTGCCATAACAATCCTCTAACATTTAAGGCTTCTTTAATTGCCCTTTATGTACTTTGCTCAAAACAGTTTTGAGTGTCCTGTTCCAGCTTTCATCTCTGTACTTCTCCCTATGTAAGTAGCTGGTTAATCAAGATCTAATTCCAAAATTCCCATTGTCCAGTCCCTTTATTTCTAACAGAATAACTGAGTATATCTGGAATACAGATTGAGGATTCTCATTCTCAAGTTTGTTGACCTCCTAGGGTTCATTTTATCAAAATGTCTCTCTTCCCAAAGGTGACATACTGTATAAAATTATGTAAATTGAAGTTAACTGCATTTAGAGTTTGAACTATTTAAAATAACTACAGTAGTTCTGAGGTACTGAAAGGCAGAGTTAGAATGATCAGTTTGAACACAATTCAAGGCTGGACTTCTACTTGATAGTTAAGAATAAAGGTTTTGGCTAGGGAGAAGAAACAACCAAAAGCTTTTTATAGTCTCAAAGGAAACTTTATCCCAGGTAAACAATAATGAAATAGGGCAACTGCTTGGCCAGATTCATACTCACATCTTAAATCACTCCCTTTGGCGGATTCTTTTACAGCAAACAGGCTAGTCATGTAGATCAATCTAAATAATTGAAAACAAAAACAACCCTTTCAGATTCTCTGCGTATTAACGGACCCTTGCCCTGTCCAGGGCTCAAGCCATATCCAGCCCTTAGTCCCTTTTTTCCCTCGGGAAGAACAGTTAGGGGCTTTCCAGTCACCAGCCTTCCTCTACCTCTGTGACTAATTGCACAGAAGCTTCGCCGGGCTCACTCATATTTTCTCTATTATTGTGGTTTCTGAAAAACCTCTCCAGCTTCGATTTCCATTAAGCAAACATTTGTTTTTCTTCCAAAAGAGATTTCAAGGGGGAAAAAATGCATGCTAGGTATCTGTTTTCATGGCGTGAAAAAGTGCAGAGTCATACCAGGTGCTCAGTGTAAACAAACAGATTTTAGAGAAAGCAAAGGATGAAAACATCCAATAACCCCTTCTGCTTTCAATCCCTACTTTCTAACACCATTTCCAATCTCATTTTTCTTTAGGATTCGCTAAGAATGGTACTAGAAAGGCTTACAATTTAGAGTATATAGAACGGCATCCTTTTTCATGTGACCCCAGCCTGCAAAGCTTGCTCATTTTGTTAGTCTTTGCTCAGATGTCATCTTGAGACTTTCCCTGTCTATCCTATTTAAAACTGCAACCCACCTGGCCACATGCACATCTTCCACCTTCCTTCCCCGTTTATTTTTTTCTTTTCTTTTTTTAAGATTTTATTTTTTTATTTGACAGAGTGAGAGAGCACAAGCAAGGGGAACAGCAGAGGGAGAGAGAGAGGGAGAAGCAGACTCCCCGCCAAGCAGGGAGCCCAGCGCGGGGCTCGATCCCAGGACCCTGGGATCATGACCTGAGCCGAAGGCAGGCGCTTAACCATCTGAGCCACCCAGGCGCCCCCCTGTTTATTTTTTTCCATAGCACTTTCCATCTTCTGTATAATTTATTACTTCAGTGTTTTTTTTGTTTTGTTTTGTTTTGTTTTCAGATTCCCTGCTCCCTGCCATCCTCATGTGAGCTATCTATGGGTGGGAATTTTTGTTTGTTGTATACACTGATGTGTTCCTGGCATTGGAACAGTGCTAGCACACAGTAAGTGTTGAATAAATACTCTGAAAGGATGAACAGTGATCCAGTAACTCAGGCACGGGATCTTATCCATTTAACAAGAATATAATAGCTGACTTCTTTCCAACAGGAGATTAATTACCTACCCATTGGAAGATCACGATTCCAAACTTCCAAGGCAGGATTGTTTCTCCAATGTGTCAATTATATGTTTCATATGCTACTCAAAATAATGCAGCTAGTCAAGTTTACTTTCTGTAGACTGGGGAGTATACACATCAGTATACTGAAATTCACTCCTTTCAGAACTGGTCTTCTCAACATCTCTTGCTCACTTTCGCCTATTCACCCCAACAAAGCCCCCTCTTCAATTTTTTTGAGACCTTGGTGCCAGCTAGTGTTTGTCACTGTTCTCATTTCCTTCTAAGGTCTTTTCAATATATCTTTGTCCTATAGTAAACACTAATACTCCCTAGGCAGTCTCCCTAGAGCTTCACACTCCAGATTCCCTTCTTCCATGTCACCCAGAGACAGACCACAATCCCACAGAACCTGGGCCCCATTTGGGTGCTCACCTGCTCATATCTACCTGTTCCCCATGAATCCTTGCTGTCACTGTTGGTTGCCTTTTGCTCTTTGTTCCTATTTCAGCCCTTCTGAATCAAGCTAGCTTCATGAGCCACATTCACCTTTGTGCTAGTTTGCAACTAACTACGTGGCATTTTGTTAACTCATTCCCTTCTTGATCCTTCACTCCTCCCTTAGCCACTTTTTTTTCTGGGTATACATGATTGTCTGGTTCATCTACTTTTATGATAGTTAAGTGCCAACTAGTAGCATTATTGCTAGGGCCGAAGTTGCTCAGGAGCTGAATTCTGTGTTTTTACACAGGACAATGATTACCTAGTGTTTTTATATTATTAAATAACGTTATATTTACAATTATGAAATATGTAACTATGTCATAATGTTATTAATTCCTTACTATTTCATGTTTTTACAACCTTAGCCCAAGAGTAGGAAAGTTAATTGCACTCCTTGATGGCTTCTATCCTTGTGATGAATTTAGAAAGTTGGGTATTAAATTGTCTAATTAACAAGCATTTACTGAATGTCTAATGTACACCAGACACTGTGCTAGTTTCTAAATACAAAAGAGGAATCAGATACAGGTCCAGCTCTTGGGGCTTCAGCTTACTAGAAGAAACAGACAAGTAAACCAACAGCTATAATGTACATACTGTGGTAAGTTCTCTTATGGGAATATGCAGAATATTATAGGAATGGACCTAAGAGGAAAGTAACTCATCTCAGAAGGGGAAGCATGGAGGTGGAAAGGGAGAGGGAGGCTCCTTAAGGGATAAGAGGCCTAAGCTGGGTCCTAAATCAGAGGTAGGAATTAACCTGGTGAACTGACACAAGGAAAACCCTGAGAACTTTAAGTATCAAATAGATGGAGTATAGAGGACCAGAATAGAGCACAAGTGTGAGAAAGGACCCGTAGGTACTAAATCAGATTTCAAAAAGAGTGGACTTGTTTTCGTTAAACAGTTCCATGGCGACCCCTGTTATTTAAATTTTTCTGTTCCCTCCCAAAACAAATATTAGTATTGACTGACCTGAATAAAATGACACAGTTTTCTCAACAGTTTAAAATAATGGAATGGGACAGGTGACTAGAAAATTCCACCAGGAAGTCTTAGGGAAGCTCCCACTGCCAATTCTCCTGAGCTCCACGAGAAGCTAGCTTTAATGAAGTTAAAAATTAAACATAATGCAAGTTTAAAATGTAACCAGAATGAAAATTTTAAACAATAAGCTGAACTACAGAAATGGATTAGCTAAACCACCCAGAGCCTAAGTTAGTCAAGCAGAGCAAAACCACGACTGATCTAATTAGTTAAGTCTGAAATAGATTCAGCACAGTAAGCAATGCCTCATTTGGGAATATAAGTTGGGACCTATATACCCAATACTAGGGGCCAGAGCTCTGGAACACTTTGCTATCTGAAGGCTGTCTAAGGTGAGGGTATATGATATCTTTTTTTTTTTTTTAAAGATTTATTTATTTATTTGACAGAGACACAGCGAGAGAGGGAACACAAGCAGGGGGAGGGGGAGAGGGAGAAGCAGGCTCCCCGCAGAGCAGGGAGCCCGATGTGGGACTCGATCCCGGGACTCCAGGATCATGACCTGAGCCGAAGGCAGACGCTTAACGACTGAGCCACCCAGGCGCCCTATATGATATCTTTTGTACTCCCAAACTCAAGTACTAAGCCTGGAACATGTTAGACATCAGTAAATTTCTCATGAATAGACTTGCTACAACTGAGCTAATAATATCTGCAGACAAAAGCATCAGGGAAGGGGGTACCACCTTTCCCAGCATCTTACCATGACAATGTATCACATACCCAGCTCCCCATGCCCCTCCAAACCAGCTCATGGATAGGAGTGCTACTCCAGGAATCCTATTTATTCACATATCATTCATTTAGCCATTCCAGAAAGTATCAGTTGCCCAGTGCTACTTACAAGTATGGCATGCAAAAGATGAATCATCTTAGACCTGCCCTTTAAGAGACTACAGTAAACAGGAAAAAAAAAAAAAAGAATACATGTCCATTAACAACCTCTGTAGAGTTAAAATGTGACAAGTAGCTCAGTTACCATGCTCTGAAACTTCAAAGCAGGGAGAGATTATGTCCAGCTGGAATAACTGAGAAGGCTTTGTGAAAGAAGTGGCATTTGAAGAGGGTCCTGAGAAGGGGCATTAAGACAGGAGAGGAGTGCTTTTCAGGAAACAATGATTCAAGACATGGAGGTAGAAAAGGGATGGAGGCCTCTGGGGAATAGTGAACACATCAGTTTGACTGACTGTGATAGGAAATAAAGTTGGAAAGGCAAAGTCAGGTCAGACAGTACAGCACACCAAATACTCAGCTGAGTTTAGACTAAACTCTGCAGGGAATGGGAAGCCACTGAAGATTTTGAGCAACGGAGTGTCACAAATATGAATCTGGCCGTTAGATGTAAGACTGAAGTGGGGGGGCGCCTGGGTGGCTCAGTCGGTTGGGTGACTGCCTTCGGCTCAGGTCATGATCCTGGAGTCCCGGGATCGAGTCCCGCATCGGGCTCCCTACTCAGCGGGGGGTCTGCTTCTCCCTCTGACCCTCCTCCCTCTCACGCTCTCTGTCTCTCATTCTCTCTGTCTCAAATAAGTAAATAAAATCTTTAAAAAAAAAAAAAAGACTGAAGTGGGGAGCCTTAGTAGGCTCCATTCCAGTGTCCAATTCTACAAACATTCACTGATGCCCACTAAGTGCTAGGTGCTCAAGAAGTAAATGTGAATAAACAGATGTTTTTATCCAAGATGCTCAGTCTGCAGAGGTGACAGACATAGACACAAATAACCACACCTTCTTAAGTTAGTCATAAAAACACCAGAGGAGCCCAAAGCCTTAAAGGACTAACTCTACCTACAGGATTAGGAAAGGCATCATGAGATGATATCTGAACTAATCATGAAAAATGAACAGAACTACATAAATAATACAGACATGTGAATAAAGACCAGAGGGACTATAAAAAGATGAAAAGAAATAGGTGTATTATGGATGGTTTGATTTCATTTTTTGATTTCCTCAAAAATTTTTGTCATATGGATTTCAGAAACAAAACAAAAACAAAAAGTAGACTATAGGGGAAGAGTATAGAAGAGAGGGTTAGTATTTAATGCAGAGGAAAGACTGTGGCCAAAGGAACACAATTTGAGGTAATAGTAATAGCAGCTAAGACCTTAATACTTCCCAAGCAGTATGTTAAGTATTTTATATTCATTATCTCGTTTAATCTTATAAAACCATTCTGTGAGGTAGGTTCTATTTATTAACATCCCCATTCTAGAAACGAGAAAACTGAGGCATAAGAAGCTAGGTAAGACCACATAGTAGAAAGCGAAAAGAGCCAGAAATCAAACTCAGATGGTCTAATTCCAGAGCCCACAGTTTTAATCAGTAGATCACCCAGAAGGGTCATCTAGAATGACTCTAGAGAAAAATGGATATGGGGGTGGGAGGAGAAGGTAGAGCAGAGAAGAATGATCAGAGATGAAGCTGGAAAGTTAGACCGGCATCAACATGCAGAAGTCTTACAGTAGTTTGATCTCCTTTCTATATACAACCAAGAACTTTTGATCTGTTTCCTGCTGGTTCTATCTTCATTACATTCCCAGAATCTGACCATTTCTGGTCACTCATTGCCACCACTTTGGCCCAAGCCACCATCATCTCTCCTGTGATTTACTCTAATATTGTCTTAATACATCTCTGCTTTTACTCTCACTCCCCTAGAGTCTATTTTTAACAAGCAACCAAAATAATCCTTTTAAAATACGTTACAGAATGTCTCTCCTCTGCAAAATCCAGTAATGGCTTCCCATTTCCCCCAGAGTAGCAAGACTCCAGCAACAGCTTTCACGGATCCACTTGCTCTGCTTCCCTCCCCATGACCTCTGACCTTATCTAAGTTTTCACCTTACTCACTCCCCCCAACACTGACATCTGCGTGCATGTCAAACATGCTCCTGCCTTAGGGCCTTGCTCTAGCTGTCCCCGCTGACTGAAACATACATCCACTTGAAAAATTCCTGCAACTCCTTCAAATCACTGTTCAAATGCTACTTTCTTATTGAGATCTATCTTTAATACTAACCTCTCTCCCTCATGTGTCCCTTACCTCTGCCTGCTCTCTCTATACCCCTTACTCTGATCTTTTTCTTTTTTTATTGCACCTTATCACATTCTAACATATTAGATAGTTTATGTATTGTTTATTACCTGTGTTCCTCTGATAGAATATAAGCTCCTAGAGAGCAGGAATCTTTCTTTACTGATGTAGCCCAAGCACCTAGAAAAGTATCCAAGTAGGTTCTCAATGGAAACTGACAATAGGAACAAACTGCAAAGTGACATATAAAGGGAAAAATAGGGGCGCATGGGTGGCTCAGTTTGTTGAGCAGCTGCCTTCAGCTCAGGTCATGATCTCGGGAGTCCTGGAATCAAGCCCTGCATCGGGCTCCCTGTTCAACGGGGAGTCTGCTTCTCCCTCTCCCTCTGTTCCTCCCCCCTCCTCATACTCTCTCTCTCAAATAAAATCTTTAAAAAAGGGGGGGAAATAATATATATTTGTATAAATAGATTTTAAGAGAATTAATGAATACCTAATCTAGTCCTATTGTTTTAGGAGAAACTATAATTTTATTTTTCTGAATCTATTAGTTCTATAGCTATATTGAATTTCTTTAATTCACACACTTTGTTAAAATTGCAATAAACTGAAGTAACTTAGCCCCCGCCCCAAATCTAAAGGATACTAAACATTATTTACATTGCCCAAGTTCTTTTCTATTTATCAAACCAATAAATATTTGGGATGCTGTACACTGTTACCTACTGCTGCACAACAAATAATCCCAAAACTTAGTTGCTTAAAACAATAAGATACACTTATTATCTCACAGTTTCTATGGTTCAGGAATTTAAGAGTGGCTTAATTGGAAAGTTCTGACTCAGGGTCTCTCATGATACTGGAGTCAAGATGCAGGCTGGGGCTACAGTCAACTGAAGGCTTGACTGAAGCTGAAAGCCCACCTCCAAAATGGCTCACTCAATGGCTGGTGAGCTGATGCTGGTTGTTCGAAGGAAGCCTCAGCTGCTTCCCAAGTGGACTCTCCAAAGAACCTTGAATATCTTTACATGGTGGCTGGCTCCTCCAGAGTGGGAAACCCAAGAGAGAGCAAGGTAGAAGCGGCTGTTTTTTTATGACTTAGCCCTGTAAGTCATACATTATTACTTCCCCCATATTCCATTGGTCCTATAGTCCAACCCTGAGGAAATGTGTGAGAGGATGGGCATGAATACCAAGAGGTGAGGATCAGTGGGGGCCATCTTAGAGGCTACTGCAAGTTATAACCAGTATTTGCATAATATTTTGTGTTCAGCTTTTTTTTTTTTCAGTTTATACATTATTTCTATTAACGGAGCTTACACACTTCTTGTTTTAGGAACTACATGTTATTCCAATGAGATTAACTCTAAAAAATTAAAAACAGTATAGACTTTTAATTTCTCTGAAAATAATCATATCCCACCACTTGATGCTTTCCATTTTTTTTCTATTATAGTCCTGATTTTTTTTTTAGATTTTAAAAAAATTTTTATTTATTTATTTGACAGAGAGAGACACAGCAAGAGAAGGAACACAAGCAGGGAGTAGTGGGAGAGGGAGAAGCAGGCTTCCCGCTGAGCAGGAAGCCTGATGTGGGGGCTCGATCCCAGGACCCTGGGATCATGACCTGAGCCAAAGGCAGACACTTAATGACTGAGCCACCCAGGCACCCTCCTCCTGATATTTTTTAAAAAGATTTTACTTATTTATTTATTTGAGAGAGAGTGAGCGAGTGAACATGAGTGTGGGGGAGGGGCAGAGGGAGAGAATCTTAAGCAGACTCCACTCTGAGTGTGAAGCCTGATGTGGGGCTTGATCTCAGTACCCTGAGATCATGACCTGAGCCGAAACCAAGAGTCAGACGTTTAACCAACTGAGCCACCCAGGCACCCTGAGTCCCAATATTTTATTTAAGGAGAAGCATTAAAGTCAGAAAAACTACAACTCATACAATATCCTGCTTGTTCCTAGGGTGAAAGGAATGTAAATACTTCAAAAACGTCAGATATATTTAGGAAAGAGTAAGGGAGAAAATAAACGAGTCACTATATTTGTTACAATTATAAGCATCCATTAATAACTGAATAATAAACCTAACAGTGAAATGAAATGCTAAGTCAAGGAAGGTATAGAGTGAAAATATTTATATTAACAGAATAGCAACTTTCTTCATGCTATATATAGAAAGAAGATGTCCAATCAGACAACAGTAGCATTAATACTTAGGTACCGAAGAGATATTTGGTAGAAAGGGAGAAGACTGACAACTGGCACAGATATGAAAACCACTGAAAAACTCTGTAACAAGCATTTTTCTTTTTCTTTTTTTTTTTTTTTAAAGATTTTATTTATTCATCTGAGAGAGAGAGAATGAGAGAGAGGAGGGAGGGTCAGAGGGAGAAATAGACTCCCTGCCTAGCAGGGAGCCCAATGCAGGACTCGATCCAGGGACTCCAGGATCATGACCCGAGCCGAAGGCAGTTGCTTAACCAACTAAGCCACCCAGGCGCCCGCATTTTTCAATCATCAACAAAATAAAAAAGAATTATTAAATAATCAACTTGTTTTAGAACGCTGCCAAAGAGCTGTAATAAGACTTATAAGCATGGAAACTACAAGGGGAGAGATTGAATGGGAAGAACTTCCCAACAGTAGGAGTTGTTGCGCTGGTGGTGAGGAGAGGATTCTTGCCCCAAGGGCCCAGCTCAAGTCTGACTACGTTGTCCCTGGTGGATTCACAAATCAGAAGGCTGGTTGAATGAGATCTCTTTTAAGGTCTCTCCAACCCTAAGAGCAAACACCCCCAATAAAGGAATTAGAATTGATACATTGGTAGTTAACAACAAATATAAAATCTTCCCTATAAACAGATCACTTCTTTCTGTACTTTATTCCATTTTAATCAAAACATCATTAGACAAGTGTCAAAAAGGCCGATTCTATACAATGAAACCATTTGGGTGTTATACCAAAATGAGATCAGGCAGTGCCTGACTTCATTCTTCATTGTTTCAGGCTTGACTCAGCTACAGTACCCACTGCCTGGGGAAAGCTGCTGCTCTTGCTGCCCCTCTCTTCACAAGGCACAAGGCCTTTTCCTACCCATCCATTAAGAGTGAAAAACCTTTAGACAGGAAGCTACTACCAGTCAGGAGAGGGTTAATATTGCTCCAGTGAGCAAATATAATAAAAACCTAAGGTGATAAACTATTTCTGCCTTCAAACCCACATCCATTGTGGGAGGCATTTATGTGCAGAAGAGTAATTACAAGGATCAATGCCCTTTGTCACTGTTTACACTGGAATTTGTGGGAAGAGAAGTGAAAACCTATTTTCTTTCTTGATATCAAATGAAAAGTATCTACTGCTTCAAATATGTTATATCAAAATGACAAAATGAGAAAGACTGAAATATTACGATGATACCTGATATATAAAGGAATAGGGCTGCCACATAAGTACCTTTCTTCAAATGTGTTTAAGATGCTTCCCCTTTAAATAATGTAACATTTTTATTTTAACAATGTTGGCTACAAATATTTCTGAAGTGACTTATGATTCAGGGTCATGATTATGATCATCAGTTATATTTTTCTGCAAACCTGGGATGCCTCTAAGGGCTACACAGTTCTATAGGACTGTTTGCCTGTCTGCCATCAAATGGTCCCAGATTGCTATGCTTTTTGAACTAGTCTTCCCTGACATCATGCTGTGTATCACTGATGAGTGTTGTTATATACAGAATTCCTTCAATAAGCTGCCATCACGGTAATTTTTTTAAATCTTTAAAATCAATGGGATGTAAATCAGAAAGCCATAATTATTAGATTTTTATGTCAACTCATGCAAATGAGAGCCTCTCCAAAATGATAAGGGTTGTAGACCTTGAGACAGGTCTTTTAGTGGCTCAGAGATTGAGCTCTCAGGAATAAGAAAGCAGAATGTGCAGAAATCTGACCTATGGAAAAGTGGGGTATTATTTTATATTGGCTACTTACCAATATTTTCTTTTTCTTCTGGGCATTCCCCTTTCTTTCCTTCAACTAATGTGCCATTTTTTCAACCTATAGAAGATGGACATGGATAATCATAAGAGCAAAGTTCTCTCTTTTCTCTCTTGTCAGTAAGCTTATTTTTGAGGTGATAATTTTTTTTCATATTCATTTCTAATCTGCTCAATCTTTGGAAACCAGATCACCACGCTCATCTCCTGACTTGCAGTCTAGTACTCTTGGGCTCTTTCTCCTTTTCCATACTTTCTTCTCATTCAAACTACGAATATAGCCACTCTTACAAAATCACTTGTTTATAAAATCAGCAACAGCAAAGGGAGGCAAGTCACACTCCCTCTAAAAGCTAGTGTATATTTTGTATAAATGTATGTGTGTAAATGTATGGGGGGCAGTGACTAAGGAGCTGATCCATAAACAAAGTGGATAAAATCTAGTTTATGCACTTAGTGGGGTCTTTTTTTTTTTTTTTTTTGCTGTAAAGAACTCCTCTAATAAGGTGTATGTTCCACAGTGTGATCAAGAGGGGCCATTTACTATTACATGTATGAGTGCATGGTTAAAAGGGACCAAGCCAATCCTAGTCCAAGGTACATATCCACAACAACTGAAGATAAGGACTCAAAAAAATATTTCTACACCGATGTTCATTACAGCATTATTCACAACAACCAGAGGTGGAAACAACTGAAGTGTCCATCAATAGATATGCAACAAAATATGATACATATATTCAATAAATATTATTCAGCTATAAAAAGGAATGAAGTTCTGGTGTGCCTAGCTGGCTCAGCTGGAAGAGCATGTGACTCCTGATCTCAGGGTCATGAGTTCAAGCCCCACACTGGAGACTGTGTAAATTAAAAAAAGAACAGAAATGAAGTTCTAACACATGCTACAGTATGGATGAACCTTGAAAACATTACGCTAAGTGAAATAAGCTGGATACAAAAAGATATATATGATTCCACTTACATGAAATGTCTAGAATAGGTAAATTCATAGAGACAGAAAGTAGATTAGAGGTTAGCAGGGGGTAGGGGAGTAGAGGAGAATGGGAGTTATTGCTTAACAGGTCCAGAGTTTCTGTTTGAGGTGATGACAGAGTTTTGGAAATAGTAGTGATGGTTATAAAACAGTGAATATAATTAATACTATTGAACTGTGCACTTAGAATGGTTAAAATGGCAATTTTTATGTTATATATTTTACCACAGTAAAACATTTTTTTAAAAAGCAGATGCAGGGGGTTACCTGGGTGGCTCAGGAAAGTAAGAAAGAAAGTGCAGATGGAACCAAATGTAAGATCCTAAGAGGAAAAACTTTGGCTATGATTTTTTTTTTTTTTAAGATTTTATTTATTCATTTGAGACAGAAAGAGAGAGAGCATGAGCAGTGGGAGAGGCAGAAGCAGGCTTCCCACTGAGCCAGGAGCCCGATGTGGGGCTCGATCCCAGGACCCCGGGATCATGACCTGAGCCAAAGGCAGACGCCCAACCATCTGAGCCACCCAGGCACCCCTATGATTTCAATAAAACAAAAGTCATGGCAACATTTCATCCTTTGGATATCTCACCCGTACACAGCCAATTACGATTTAAATTCTGAAGGGTAGTACTGATACTCAGAAAGTATCTTTAAGCATTTGAATTTATACAGTATCTTCCATTCTCCCAGAAAGTTAAACCTACCTATGCAACATAAATCTGAAAATTATACATCCAAGAGAGAATTCAAACAAGGTTAGAAATTCTAACTACACGGCCCCCAAAGCAAACATTTTCAAGACATTTTGTTAACTACAACTTAAACACCTTCCCAGTATGCCCTTGGAAACCAAGAATGCAATGAGTGATATCTACCTCTAAGCATGCAATCTTGACAGTTCTATTAAGTTTTCTTTTTTTTTTTTTAAAGATTTTATTTATTTATTTGAGAGAGCGAGAATGAGAGAGAGTACATGAGAGGGGGGAGGGTCAGAGGGAGAAGCAGGCTCCTCGCTGAGCAGGGAGCCCGATGCGGGACTCGATCCCGGGACTCCAGGATCATGACCTGAGCCGAAGGCAGTTGCCTAACCAACTGAGCCACCCAAGCGCCCCTAAGTTTTTTTTAAAAAATTTTTTTCTTTTCTTTTTTTTATTAAGTTCAATTAGCCAACATATAATACATCAGTTTTTGATGTAGTGCTCAATTAAGTTTTCCTTTTTTTTTTAAAGATTTTATTTATTTACTTGACAGAGAGAGACACAGCGAGAGAGGGAACACAAGCAGGGGGAGTGGGAGAGGGAGAAGCAGGCTTCCCGCGGAGCAGGGAGCCCGATGCAGGGCTCGATCCCAGGACCCTGTGATCATGACCTGAGCCGAAGGCAGACGCTTAACGACTGAGCCACCCAGGCGCCCCTAAGTTTTCCTTTTAAAAACACTTAATATTGTGTGTATGTCAATACACTGAACTCAAAACAAAAGACACTTCAAACTGGCATCTCCAAATGCCCCCTTTCCTTGGCACCCTTGCCCCCCACACACAGAGAGGCTAAATGGATTCTCTTATTTCCTGTTCATGTTAGTAGCATCACAGATTTCCTAATTCACAACTCAAAATCCTCACCATCTTTGAATTCTCCACTCTCATACCTTCTATATTCCAATCTGTTATCAAGAACCGGTGATTTTTCCTTTGTAATATCTTTCCCATCTCTTTCTCCTTCTTTCCTCCCTAGTACCCCTGTTAATATCTAAATTCTGGCCATTATTACTTCAGACTTGGGACTGTTACAGCTTCTTAACCGGTCTTCCAGTTACCAATGTCTCTATTCTCAAATCTATACACCACTATTTTCAACATTTTCCCACTAGATTTTAACCCACAGCATGTCAGGAATTCATTTATCTTTGAACACTGTACAACCTGGCATATATGTTTAATTAATCAATGTATGCTGAATGAATGAATACATAAATCAGCTCACTCTCGTTAAAACTTTCACAAGGGCGCCTGGGTGGCTCAGTTGGTTAAGCGACTGCCTTCGGCTCAGGTCATGATCCAGGAGTCCCGGGATCGAGTCCCACGTCGGGCTCCCTGCTCAGCAGGGAGTCTGCCTCTCTTTTTGACCCTCCCCCCTCTCATGCTCTCTATCTCATTCTCTCTCTCAAATAAATAAATAAAATCTTTAAAAAAAATAAAAAATAAAAAAAAATAAAACTTTCACAAATTGGGGCACCTGGGTGTCTCAGTTGGTTAAGGTCATGATCTCAGGGTTGTGAGACTGAGTCCCATGTACGGTTCCCCACTCAGCGGGAAGTCTGCTTGAGATTCTCTCCCTCTCCCCCCTGCTCATTTTCTCTCTCTAAAATAAATAAATACATCTTAAAAGAAAAAAAAGGGGGGGGGGGGCGCCTGGGTAGCTCAGTCAGTTGGGCATCTGCCTTCGGCTCGGGTCATGATCCTGGCGTCCTGGGATCGAGCCCTGCATCAGGCTCCCTGCTCAGTGGGGAGTCTGCTTCTCCCTCTCACTGTGCCCCTCCCCCTGCTTGTGCACTCTCTCTGTCTCTCTGATTTGCTCTCTCTCTCTAATGAATAAATAAAATCTTTAGAAAAATAAAATAAAACTTTCATCAATTTTCCACTGTTCATAACAGAAGGTACAAACTCAAAGACCTACATACTTACTGGGGCCAAGCAGGAAATAGAAGTCAGTAAAGGTGTAAACCCACAGGAAGTGGTGGAGACTATGGCAAGCTAGAGAGGACATAGGCCATCTGAACGGGCAGTTGCTCGCTGCTGCCACAAACTGCCACCATGATGAACTACAGGCTCCGTATTGCCAGGTCTTCTGGTTTTTTCAAGATAAGCTGAAAGCACAGATTTCTGTGTGGAATCTGGTTTTTAAACAGTGACAACTAATTCCACTTAAAAATTTTAAAAAACCCAAAAGCCACTGTGCAGGCCTGGCAAAACACTATGGGTCAAATCCAGCCTTCAAGTTACAAGTTGGCGTCTCTGCTCTGTAGGATAAAAGACAAACTCCCTGCCTCACATTTGAAGTCCTTCGCTGTGAATTCCCAGGCTACCTTACCAAAGTTTTTTGCCCACTACTTTCATACAAGAACCCTCTCCTCTAGTCTAGCAATTCTCAAACTTTAGGATGTATCAGAACCACCTGGAGGACTTGTTAAAACATAGGTTGGTGGGCCTCACTGCCAGCATCCTGATTCAGCAGGTCTCCAGGGGGGCCTGAGAATCTCCATTTCTAGTTTGTAACAAGTTCCCAGGTGATGCTGATGCCACTGGTCCATGGACCACACTTTGGGAACTACTGCTCTAGTTAAAAATCTCCTTGTCTCAAACACACTGAATTTTGCTCACATGATTCTACCTTTCCAGAAAGTCTTCCCTCTTCCTTTCAGCCCACCTTCTGTAAACTTTCTCTATAAGAGCCTTTCATGTCCCCAAATTCCTGCAGCACTTACACCATCTTCCCTTTATCCATCACTGCTTGGTGTTTTTTATTAACTGTTAGTACCTCGGTGCCAATGAAGTTGTGTATTCTCACAGATCAATGCTCAGGTCAGTACCTCATATACCTGACTATAAGCCACTTGAAGGCTGGTACTCCTCAAGCTGTCAGGTAGCATGGTATACAGTTGGTACTCACTAAACTTTTTTTTTTAAAGATATATTTATTTATTTTAAAGAGAGAGAGAGAATGAATGAGCAAGAGAGGGGGGCAGAGGGAGAAGGAGAGAAGCAGACAGTGGGGAGCCAGATGTGGGGCTCAATCTTACGACCCTGAGATCATAGCCTGAACCAAAATCAAGAGGCAGACACTTAACTGAATGAGCCAGCCAGGTGCCCCCTCACTAAACATTTCTTAAATGAACATCTGCCAGATCCATGAAATCAAAGTGCAGATAAGTGGGACTGAAATTTGCATGTGTAATTTTTCTTAGAGAACTTGTAGTCCTGTGTAATGGCTTTGTCAGAATAGGCAACTAATAAAAATGGAATACTTTGCAAATAAATTGCCAGTAGTAATAATTATCTTATTTTGTATAAAAATAAAACAGTCAGGGGCGCCTGGGTGGCTCAATCGTTAAGCATCTGCCTTTGGCTCAGGTCATGATCCCGGGGTCCTGGGATCGAGCCCTGCATCGGACTCCTTGCTCAGGGGAAAGCTGCTTCTCCCTCTCCCACTCCCCCTGCTTGTGTTCCTTCTCTCTATGTCTCTGTCTCTGTCAAATAAATAAAATCTTAAAAAAAAAAAAAAGTCAATGTTAAAAAAAAACAACAACAATCCTAGTTTTAAAATTGATAACAGTAAACCCTTGATCTCCAGGATTTCTTATCCCTTGCAGGGATGTGACCTAGTCAATATCACAATATAATACCTATTTAATAGAATTCTGTATTTGTACCACGGGCAATAAAAAAGATGAAAGTAACTGACTCCCCATGATACTTGGAAACACGAATCAGTCCCTTCAGATACAGTTTGGATAATACATTTATGCATGATTCTAAATGCTTTATGAAAACCAAATCAAAAGCTCTCCACCTACACTCTTCCATCTATAGAGTTCCATCTACTATCAGGTGATTTCAAGGATGATTTATGAGTAGAAACTTTGAGTCTCCAGGCGAAACAAGAATAAAGCCACAGATGACTTTACAGAGTAAACCCAAATTGGGAACTACTAGAAGAGAAAATTAGAAATACTATATATTTTGAAAAACAAAACAAAACAAGACCAGGAAATACTATATATTTTGATACGTAGTCTTAAGTTGTTTGGCTTTTTGAACAACTTTACACTTGATATTACAATCAACAGGACAAGAGAAAAGTCATCATTTGATAAGGACAGAGAATCCAATTCAGAAAGAAAACACCAAGAAAACCCACCCAGAAGCATATGAAGTACATTTAGAGCTTTAAGCTAGCACAGATGTTACCTTCTATCAGGTTCCTTGTCCTACCTACCAGGACCATAATGATCTTGTCTGCATGAGGATTCAGCCAAGACACTCCCACATTTCTATGTTGACCGGGAACTATGCAAACTGTAGGAAAAACAATTGTAAAGCCAAGTCAACAAAACACTAACTGGTTTATTCCAAGTTTTAAAAGCATTAACATTCTAGGGGCACCTAGGTGGCTCAGTCGTTAGGCGTCTGCCTTCGGCTCAGGTCATGATCCCAGGGTCCTGGGATCGAGCCCTGCGTCGGGCTCCCTGCTCTGCGGGAAGCCTGCTTCTCCCTCTCC